TTTGTTTGTCAGGACTTACGGGGGTTAAAAATAGGGTCAAAGGGGAAGTCGCAAGAAATTTTGGCTTTAAAGGGTATATCGTTTTCAAAATTCTGAAATGCCACCTCCTGCCGGGCCCTGAGAGGGGATACTAGGGGGGCTGATTATGATTGGGTCAGCTCTAGCCAGATATGTCAGCAAGTTTGAAATGTGATTGCTTTAGTCATTCGATAAATCATTCGAATATTTATTCGAAATTCGACTTCCAATGTTCAAATATATTCGATATTCATTCATTCGATATTTTTGATTTTTCGAATTTACTCGAAATTCATTCATTCGATATTTTTGGTTTTCCGAATTTATTCGATATTCGTTTATTCGAAATTTTTCCTTTTCGAATTTATTCGATATTCATTCATTCGATGAAAAATTCTCGAATTACCCAAGTATAGTGTACACGGCAAGCACTCGCTACCATATAAGGTCGTTGGTCGAGTCACTTTACGGTATATCAAAGACTTCAAATTACGTGGTATCCGTTTGTCAAAGAACATCTGTCATGCCTCTCCACTTCATCCAGCCTGCATTCCTGTTAGTTATTTCGTCGTAAAGACGGCCATCTGCGGAGATACGGCTTCCCGGATACTTGAAGGAATTGGTCTTTTTGAGTGGCGTGCTCCCAATCTGGATGGTCTCAGGTATCTGCGCTTCCAGCTCCATTCCGTCTTCGCCGTGTTCAGCTTCAATCCGTGCAGCCCCGATTTCTTTCTACTTCTTCAAATTTTTCTGAACTTCTTCTCTGCTTCTTGCCAGTAGAACCAAATCATCTGTGACGAGTGCTCTTGGTGCTACCGTATGAAGCCCTTGACTATTGCATGACGGTGATGAAAGGAGTGGTGAGAGTACGGAGCCTGATGCACGCTGGCACTTATCTGGACTCTTCTGATGGTCCTGCTGGTGTTTGTACGGGACTCGTTGCACCTTTGTAGACCATTTGCATCCACTGGATGTATTCCTCTGGCACCATGTGTTTGCGTAGCGCCCACCCGCAGTGTACAGGTAAATTTGGGCGCATAGGATTTTTGCCTGTAAATTGGTGAGGGGGTCCTAACTAATGCACTGCCCAAGGGCCAGCGAAATGGTTTATTCACGGCTGAGAATTCTCTCTCCGAAAACCCCCGCCTGCGCCGTGACCGTAACCCGAAAACGAGTTCGCTCATTTTAACATTATGTTCGCACTGGAACCCATGCTGAATGTTACGGTCACAGCGCGCCGCGGAATTGTTGGGAACAGATTTCTCAGCCGTGAACGAATAATTCGCCCTGCGGTTTGGGTAGTGTCCTAGCTGGATCCTCCTCATCAGTTTCCAGGCAAAAAACCCATATGCCTAGATTTGCCTGGACACTGCCTTCATGAGCCGTATGGGTCTATTACGTAAAGCAGTCAGCTGTGTTCCCTTCGCTCTTCCATATCGGTAATGTTGTGCTCCGGCACCAATAGCTCGGCATCTTCTTGAAGCTTACTACCTGGTTGAGAAGTTGCGTTAGCCACATTACTCCATGTTCCACTCTTCCCAAAACTCGATTGGGCACGTCGTCCAGGCCTGTCGCTTTGCCGTCCTTCATCTTGTTATGGCTGCGCGGACTCATTCTTCTGTGATGTTTGTCACCCTTGTACCGTTTAAGCTACTATGGTAATGCATTTCTGCGGCTCGTAGAGACCACCGCTTTGAAGTGCGCTCGCCATCGTTCGCATATCTCATGTGGTCTTCTCAGGGTTCTCTCATGCTCGTCCTTTATACTGTAGAAGTGGTCCGTGTCCTTTGTAGCCTTTGTTATTCTTCTCGCCAACCGGTAGATCTCTCGCTCCTTCGCAAGTGTGCAGCTTCTTGTAGAGGTCTGCTTCCTTCGCTTTTTTGACACTCTTCTTTGCAGCACGTTTTGTATTCAGGTATTCGCGGTGTGCATCTTCTTTTCTTGTCATCAGCTATGCTTCGTAAAGCCATCTTCTTCATCTTGATCACATCTTACATGTTACCGTTCCACCCTCATGTCTCCTTGTCGAGCTTTGCCCTTTCCGGTTTGATGCGTCCCAGTAGATTACTTGCCATCCTTAGGCTGTTTTTTGATTGCTTCCAAGAGTGCTTAGACTTTTTTATTTTATAAGTATCTTATGAGTTCTCATACCCCCCTCCCTTCCCCTTGAGCATAATGGATGACAGGACATTACCAAACAAGCTTTAATTTTCACTGCAATGTGTGATATACCAGAGGATCCTCAAAAAATCATCCCTTGTTTCAGTTGTCTACCTTTTCCTAAATTTGTTGAAATTGTCGCAAAGGTTAAAGTTGCGCTGAGGATTGAGTGGCCCAGTCACATAAGAGCATCAGTACCACTTCTTAAAAAAATCAATAATGGCATGAGAGATTTTGTGAAAAAAACATAATGTGATAACAGTTCCCGAAACGAGAGGAAAAAAAGCACTTAGGCAGCTTCTACCAACTTCTTTACTTTTCCTCTAATGAGCGCTTTTAGGTAAGACAGATACGAATGGTAATTAGCTACAAACTATTATATTTATAAATGAGCAAATTCTATTCCTCCACAGTTTCGTGGGGAAATGCTTAGAATTATTCAACGACAAATAAGAATTCGCGTAACGATATGTACCCTTCGATTCAACTAAAGTGCGGCTCATAATTATACGAACACCCAAAATTTTGTAAGTTTTTGGACTTTCTGGGAGTAACTTTAAAAGCCATCGGTACCATGCGATAGAACACAGCCGAAAACGGTATATGATCCATAAGAATGGAAATGGATGTCAATCTTAGGAGCGTTTTCGCGCATAATTCGAATTTTTAGCGGTTCATAATTATACGAACACTCAAACAAAGGTCCATTTTTCATTCAAGATTGCAATCATTTGAGTCCAAATTTTTTGTAGAGTTACAGTAACAAAGTCTGACATATCTGCTATACACTAAATACAGTGCATTTCAAAAAGAGGACCGTTACTTTTTTTCAAAAGCTCTAAATGCTTTTGGAGTGATTGCGCTCCAAAAACATCCGTTCTTTTGTGGATTACGCACTCTAATTAGTTTCTACCAAAGCTATGAGATGAAGTAAGCTCTTGCGATAGGTATTTCGTTTGACGCTTGGAAAATCTTTGCGTTTTCGTGCCGTTTTTCAACTAAGTTCCAACCTTACCACAGAGTTAGCACGATTTCGAGCCTCAAGACTCAGCTTCTGAAGCAGTACAGTGAAGTAAGCATATAGTATGTAAAAGTTTACAAGACTTTGTATTTGGCTAGAAAAAAATCAGCAGCGTTGAGCGTTTGTTTTGGTCACGCAGACGTTATTTCACCAGAAATACTGTTTTTACTATTGCAAACACACCTCTACTTGGTTTGTAGCTCCACAGCCGCAAGATCAGTTCTAGAAAAACCCAAAAACTTTGGCACAGAAACATTATTATGCAGGCAATGCAGCTACTTCATATCAAATGTTTGCGCATGAAAGAAGCTGAGTTTTGAGGCTTAAAATCGTGCTAACTCTGTGGTAAGGTTGGAACTTAGTTGAAAAACGGCACGAAAACGCAAAGATTTTCCAAGCGTTAAACGAAATATCTATCGCAAAAGCTTATTTCATCTCATAGCTTTGGTAGAAACTAATTAGAGCGCGTAAATCACAGAAGAACGGATGTTTTTGGAGCCCAATCACTCCAAAAGCATTTAGAGCCTTCTAAAAAAAGTAACGGTCCTCCTTTTGAACTGCACTGGGTTCAGTGTGTAGCAGATGTGTCAGACTTTGTTACTGCAACTTTTCAAAAAATTTGGACTCAAACGATTGCAATCTTGAATGAAAAATGGACCTTTGTTTGAGGTGTTCGTATAATTATGAACCGCTAAAAATTCGCATTATGCGCAAAAACACTCCTACAATTGACATCGATTTCCATTCTTATGAATCATATACCGTTTTCGGCTGTGTTCTATCGCGTGGTACCAACGGCCTTTTGAGTTTCTCCCAAAAAGTCCGAAAATTTACAAAATTTTGGGTGTTCGTATAATTATGAACCGCACTTTAGCTTGGCGGCTGGAGGGCGGGGCTTTGTGACCTAATTGAGGGCGCTTGCGCTCTCCACGCAGTCTGCGTCTCTCTCGCGCCCGTGCTCTCCGATCATTACCAAGCCTTAATTAGATCACGAAGCCCGGCCTTCCAGCCGCCAAGTCAGTCATGTCAAAGGGTACACATTTCGAGTTATAATGAATCCACCATATGCTCACCCCACCAATACAAAGCCGTTTGAAGCAGAGATAGTAGCCACGTTATAGATATGAAAATTACCAAATTTCCTCTAGAGAATATTCTCCTAAATTATGAATTTCATTAAAAAAACCTTTATTTAATGAATCTAATTTCCGTTTCGTTCCTTTTCTCAGACGTAGTGAAAGAATCTAAGGGTTCCTTCGCAGACCTGCAGAAAGGAATGATGGTCTTGACAGCTCTTGACTTTATGCGTACAATGCTAAAGGAATGAGTAGCTGAATCAAAGTAATTTTGACTGCGAAATCATGCTGTGAAGGAAATCGTTCGGAGCAAGCACTAATTTAGAATGACAAAAAATCTTGATTTTCATGGGCAACTATCGAGGAATATAGAGTTGTCTGTCAGTCACTCAAATGCTCGCAAGCAAGAATTTGTATGGAGTACCAAATAAAAAACGACTTTCGGTTAGACATACTGTATGTGTGTATATTGTTCGGATTAGAAAATTTTATTTCTGAACCGATCCAGACCAAACTTTGCGCACACACACTTCGGAACGGGGAGGTTGTCGTAGGCTACTTTCGCCATCGATTGATATCGATTTTATCGATTTTTGCAAGGTTTGAGCTACGAGGCTGGGAGTTGACACACGGGGTAAGTGAGCATGCTTATTACGAATATATTATTAACACGGCCAGGCGGAGCCGGGTTTGTCAGCTATTATTAATATTTATGAGTCGCAACCTTACTTGTATGACAATGGCCATGTAACAGCTATAAACCTGTTGATAGCAACGAGCAGATGGCAGTAGATAGATTCATACCAGAAAAAGTGTATGAGCTGGCCCACTCTGGCTGCGTAATATCCTTTGGTAATGGAATCATCCGGATTGCTAAATGAATCATTACTATGTGCTTGAAAAGCTCATTTTCAAGAAAACCAACAAAAGTGTTACAGGTCCTGTCCAGAAAACGTTGGGAAAGACTGCTCCAAAATCAGCGATAAGTTGGCAGAAACATATATAACCGAATGAATTGTGGAACATTGGAGTCTTGATTATCATAATCATAACAATAATGCTGACCAAGGAACTTGCACTCCCGGTCTGAAGTGGTGCCTTTTCTTTCTTAGTAAGCCAAGGTTTGTTGCATACAGTTCTTTTGAGTTCAGAAACAAAAAATGTTAATGCAAATTTAGGAAGCACTGATAGTGGATAACAACCTAGCAGCAGTGCATTTTAATTTAGCTAACTCTAAAAACTCACCATAACCAGAATTGCACCCGAGAAGATAGATTCGATTGTGGCGTCATTAAGTTTTGTTAGAGAAGCATTATAGGCTATAGTCATTTCACAAGAAGATAAATGGTAAAGGGCCTTCTGTTGGGTGAGCGAGTAAGGGAAGCATCAAACAACTTTGTGACGCCTTGATATTATAGTATCTCACAACCAGACGGAACTGCTTGAGCAAATGATAAGCAATGAATCATTAGAGCTGCTATTGTTATTCGTATTTGTCCGAAATCATTCGATCAGTTAAGCCACCGACTACGATTCACTGGTCTGTGCGCTACAATATCTGTTGTCTTTGTCCCTCTAATCAAAAGTCTGTGGCGTTTCAACGCAAAGCCAAAGATCTAATGAATGTTGTAAAAATAGGAAGAGCAAGTTGAAAGAGTAGCATACCCAAATAATAAGTTTCTAGAATGGTATCAAAATTTTTGTATAGCAAGCAATTCAAAGAGCACCTGTGTGATTTCTGTAGCTGACTTCCAAAATCCAGAAATTGACTTGAGAGAGAGGCAGCTAGGAAGTCAGAAACTTTCGTGTAGTTACAGTGAGATCCTCCCGTTAGATTTTTTTGAGTAATCTAAATAATCGTGGAGTATTTTGCTCCATCTTACATAAACTACAACTTTTTCTGAGCAAGATTGCAGTCTGCAGAAAGTTTAAGAGCATAGGCGAAAAAGAATCTGTAACAGCATGAATGGATATTCATTCGTAAGTATGTAGGTAAAAGCTACTGTCGGACGAAGATGCAAAAACAGTGTTGATTGAGCAGGCGCGAATGCGGCGCGCGGATCCTTGCCGTTGTAACCCTGTTTCTGCGCTCTGTGACTCATAAAACCGCGCGTGCCCTTACTCAGACAGTCGAAGGGATACCTCCGGCGGGCATATGGCGCAAGTCTGCCACTTCGCGCTCCGGAACCCTGCCATTTCACGCATTTTTGTGCTCTGGGGCTCTCCCAAAAGTGGCGCACCTCCGGAGCAGAAATCTGCGCGTCGCGGAGAGGGGTCCCATTCGTCCTGTTTGTGACGTCATTGTGACGTCACGGTGAATGAATGGGACCCCTCTCCGCGACGCGCAAATCTCTGCTCCGGAGGTGCGCCACTTTTGAGAGCCACGGAGCACAAAAATGCGTGAAATAGCAGGGCTCCGGAGCGCGAAGTGGCAATCCTCCGCTGGGGAAAGCTCTCGGCTCTGCCATTTCTGCTCCGGAAGTATGCCGTCGACTGTCTGAGTAGGTTTTGCGCATTCGTCCGGCAGTAGCCTTTATCAGTGGCGGTCCCAGGATTTCGGACGGGGGGGGGGGGGCGACAAAAACTTTATTCCAGTGAAGGTGCGTGGCGTTAGCCACGCACTCGGAAAAATTTTTTGAAGTGCTCTTCAGAATTTTTGCGGGTCCATAACCCCCAAACCCTCCCCCTTCGGTCCACTGGCCTATGGTCCACTGTATGTATTACACTTGGGGAAGTTCCAAATTATTTATCAAACAAATGAATATTGAATAAATTTGAAAACAAAAGAATTTCTAACAAACGAATATCGATTAAAATCGAGATTCAAAAATTTCAAATGAATGAATACCAATCGTATTCGAACATTGAAAGTCTTTTGCATATATATTCGAATAATTTATCGGGTACCTAGAGCAGCCATATTCAAAACTTTTCCTAAAGAAAAAAAACCTAAAGCCGATTTATTCAAAATCAGCACTCTCATCCCCAATTCCCAGCTCCGTAGTTCAAAATCTTGAAAATCGGTATGATCGAAAGAATAAATTTTTATTCATAATCAGTGCCTCTCACTTACCTTCTGTACCCCGTACCGCAAGAACGTTTTATTAAGTGAGATCTACTAGTGCTAATGGGAATCTGGTGTTCTACGAGTGTGGCCGCTATTCTTGCCAAATTTGATTTTGCTCAACACCTCATTAGTTGATATTCAGTTCTCATGACAATGAGATTCGTCACCGTAGACTTCAAGCCCAAGCAAACTTCGTTTTCTTTGAGATTCTGGGACTTAGAGTCGGACAGAGATGCATCAGTACCTTCTTCAATCAAGCGGTCCGAAGAGTCGTGTAAGCGGATGGTCGTGAACCCAGCACGTTCATACCGTACAGGGATGAACCGCATTGTGACCCTTGACCCTGTGCCTTTGCACAGCAGTAGATCTACTTATCATTCGTCCACTACATTTTAAAGGCAATTTAGCAGAGTTTCAGCAAATGAAATTGGCTGAAGCTGAACTTTAAGAATGAGGAACCTTCCAACTTGGTGTAAGCATCTAACTATTTTAGTTGAAAGAGCTGTTCGGATTCGTAGCGCAAGTATGCGATCATTCTCTTCGAGCAATAACGATGGTCACTTATATGTACTCATGATGCCAGCTGCTACGGTACATAGCCTGCTCATCAGGGACTTTCGAGGCGACCTCATAACTCACATTCAGCAATTGGCTCTGCACCAAATAGCCTTTAACAGAAGAAATTGCTCTAGATAGAACTTTGAAACTGTTCGATTTCATATATCCAAACTTTCAAAAACTTTGCTGCATCCCAGAGCTCTTTTTTGCATAATTCCATTTGACAAGAGATTAGCTTTGTAAAACTTGAAGTAATCGTTCACCTTCTTCTCACAACTGCAAGATCGCTCGCCTGCTCAATATACTGACTAGTTCAACGCAAATGGGTAATTAAACTCAATCGCGATGCTCTTGAAGGCCGATGTCACTCTGCACAAGTCACCACTAATATACCTATTATACCATATATACCTTCCAAGGCATGAGACGGCACTGTGAACTGCAACTCATTCCAGCGCTCCCATTTCCTAAGCAAATATGTTGAGAATTGACACGAAAAGGCCACTGCCGGACGAACGCACAAAAACAGCATTAGTGATTGGTTTTATTTTTACCGTTGTCAAGACTGCGTTTTATGCTCTGTAATAATGCGTTCCTATTTTGCTCCTTTGTCCGACAATAACCTTTACCTTCCAAGCATTTTGCTCTATGTGTTCACCCCCGTGGGGATGTGGTCCGATCCCAGCAGCAGTGCAACGCTGGGCCGACCCGTGATGAGGAGCGAGCAGGCCCGCTACCACATCTGGTTCCAAAAATCAAATAACCTTAACGAGACTCATTCGAGACTCTATCGAAGGTTAATTCGATAAGAACAGAAACTAAACTTTGATCTTAGCCAAAAGGCCGAGAAGCGATACCCATGCTACTCAAGGCAGAGGGCAGTCCTACCAGTGCGCCGTATATCGCGCGGGTTGCATTAAGCGCACGGCTTGTGAGAATTCCAGCTGTGGCAGCTGCGCCTTCCCGAGAGAGGGCTAAAACAAGCAATACAAATATTGAAATCTCGAAGAAGTTTTCGAGCATTTCGAGTTTTGTATCACGAAGACCAAGAAGAGGAGTTTTGGAACATTTGAAAAGTTTTTAACTGATATTCCGTCGGTCTCCTCATATGGTGATGACAAAATTGCCACTGGTGATCTAGATAGATAGATAGATACCTAGATATGAACTAGTCCCATCACACCACAAATATTTCGCAGTGAGGTCACTACCACATATCAAATCTATGCTGTATCCTGCTCAGAGAATTCTGCTTGTTTATACCAAATTATTTGAGTTAGCTGAATTGCAAGTGGTCCCACAGTACACACATATGTATTATAAATTCCATTACCATAACAAATCCGAACAAAAAGCCAATCATAAGTTTTGATGACTGGAAGATTCGACTGTGTCGTTTGAATAAAATATTTCCTCATGAAAAAAAGGCGCAAGAAAATGAGAAACACCAATTTTCCCATTGTGTAACTAGCGAATCTCAAAATGGAGATCACAATCATGGTTATTCACTAAATGGAGAAAACTTGTGTGTATCCAAATACCGAATTACTCAACCCTATGTCCATAATAACCTGAGAACGAAGCCTAGAAATTCAAAGAACTGAGCTTTTAAAAAATTAACTTATTGGGCCATAATTGTCTTTTACTGATAGTAGAAAATACCGAATGCCAGATGTATGGTAATAGAAGCTACCCTCTCTCAAAGCATCATAGAAAAAAAAAATTTTATGGGGATTTGCATGAAAAACGAAATTATTTTTCAGCCCATCTAATATTAGGTTGTCCGGAAATTGATGCAGGTTTTGAATTCCAACCGCACTAAGTCATACACTTCTCATTTCTAAATAGCTTGCAAGGTACCATTCGATAGAACAAAGCAAGCTCTATAAGATGGCCATCTTGCTTTAGCAATAGCTCCGATCCACCACGAGTTTCGAGCCAAAAACTAAAAAGATTCAACTGCCTGAAAAATTGAGAAAAATCGTAACTCAGTTCACAAAAATCCTACAAAAATTCTAACTCGCTCACGATAACACAATCCATATAAGGCATCTATATACGCCATTGCCGTCTTTTTTTCTCTGTTAGAAATCAAGAAAACGGGAATTTACATTTGCCAAAGTGATGCTGTGCCGTTCCCACATAAGTATTCGTACGTAGAAGTACGTAAATTTCCAGCTCTCTACAAGCTTTAGTTCTCGAGAGATATCGAATACAGTTTCCCCTAGTCATGTGGTTCAAGCTAAAATTCAAATTTCTTCAGAATTATAGCTTGTAGAGGGAAAATTTATGTTTGTACCTCTACGGGTTTGTAGTATACATCTACTTATGTGGGTACGGCACAGCATCACTTTGGCAAATGTAAATTCCCGTTTTCTTGATTTCTAACAGAGAAAAGAAGACGGCAATGGCGTACATAGATGCCTAATGTGGATTGTGTTTATGTGTGCAAGTTAGAATTTTTGTAGGATTTTTATGAGCTAAGTTACTATTTTTGTCAATTTTTCGAGCCGCTGAGTCTTTTTAGTTTTTGACTCGAAACTAGAGGTGGAGCTGTTGCTAAAGAAAGATAGCCATCTTGTAGAGCTTGCTTTGTTCTATCGAATGGTACCTTGCAACCTACTTACAAGGGAATGGTCAGAAATCGAAGTGGCCATTCCAGACAAGCTACGTACCGTTAGATGCAGCATGAAGCGCTGACTCT